CAAAGGAGGACTGGAAAGAGACAGGCTGAAAGGCACTTGACAGAGGTTTAGCCCGATCGCGGAGCAGAAACGGGGCAACCGCTTTTGCTCTGGAGCTCCATGTCTCGAGTCCTCGCGCGGGATCGACTTGAGACAAGTACTGAGCAGTCAAGAAATTCTACCGGGTTTATTAACAAGTCGGCCATACATCAAGCCCGGGCCACAGCGGACCTGAATCGTTGACTCAAATCTTTTATCAGTCGGACTGGGAATAGAGCGCTATCTACTACCACTGGGAATATTCGGTGTGCACCCATCTGAGCCTGAAATGACCATTTCAAACTTATAGGTCATAAATAAACTCAGATTAAAGGCGCTTATGGCTGTTAAAAGAAGGGGAACTGATCGGACTGAAGGGAACAACTGGTTATACCCCAAAACCAGGCAAAGCACAAATTAGTTATGACTTCCTACAAATATTTCCCATGGGTCCTAAAGATAGAGAGTGAAAGTGGACATGTATGAAAAGCAGAATAAGTTGAAAAGAAAAGGACAGGACAGAGATTGAAACAATTAGTATTGTGAAGGGACCAAGGGGAATGCATGCGTAGCAAGTGAGCCGTAGGAGGAACGGCCAGAAAAGGATACCAACGTTTGTGCTCAAGAAACCCACCAAGGCAGAGAAACAGTCCCTGAAAATGGAAGTAGTCTACTTTTCAAGGCTTTTGCAGCAGACGTCGGTGTTGACCACAGGAGAGTCGTGGAATGGGAGTAAATATCCAAAGAATAAACCATTGCATCATGGGAAAAACAGGGTCAGACAGAGTACTGTTGGCAGCAGCAGCAGCAGTAGTAGAAGTGGTGGTAGTAGTAGCAACACTAGTAGTATTAGCAGCAGTAGTAGAAGTGGTGGTAGTAGTAGAAGTAGTAGTAGTAGTAACAAATTTTCAGCTCTAATAGACCAAATAGTCTAAGGAGCCGTGAGTAACCCCACAAAATAAAGTTAATCAGCGAAAAGAAAAAAAACTCTTGAGTGGGTAAAATAGATGTGATGGGGTAGAAGCGCTCAGGAGGAAATTCACACAGGATGGGTCTCTGAACTGTGTTTGATAATGGTCCACGATGAACATTCGCCATGTCAGAAAAGCAAAACGGGCAGGCGAAAGGGGGGGGGCGGATGCTGGCTGGAATCTACGCTTAGACATCATTTCCCATCCACCCCCTTACAGCAATTTTGAATAAAATTAATAGTCCACTGGTACGCGTTTCTTTACTGGCAAGAACATAAAATTCACGCGCGATACTTTCCCAACTAGAGCCTGATTTAATCATTTCCACAAATTGTCCTAAAGGACGCACAGCATTCTTCAAAAATCGGGCCTCTCCCACCACATAATAGAGCTGTAGAAAGTACCAACACTTACGCATGGTTGCCTCAGGAGACTCAGAGACATGAGGGGACAGCGGCCGTTCGAGCTGAAAGAAGGATGAAGAGGAAACAACTACGATAAAGGACGAGGATACAGGATAGGCATCAACCAAAATCTCACATCATCATCAAGACAGTCAAGCTTTTGGAGAGGACAGAGTTAAATGAATGACATTACACAATTACAAGGTCTCGCTGTCTCTCATGCAAGGCATCAATGAGCTTTAGTAGCAAGAAAACTGTTGGACACTTTGGCTTCAGTCAAAATTAGAGAGATGATGGAAGAAGACAATCAAAATGACATAAAATGCCTGCATTGTCACCTTCGGGAGGTAATATTAAAGGCTTTTAGTTAAGTTCTAGTCTTGAAGAACCTTACAGGTAGTTAACCTCCACGCGCGTGCCGCATGTGTTCAATGTCTCAATTAACTTGTATTCTGAAAATATACTAATAAGAAAACAGTTCCAATCATGGGATTGAAAGAGGTTTAAATGCATTGACCCATTTACTGTAAACGAATGTGTCATTCGGTAGTCGCAGGAAAAAATTCGAGTACTCCACTTTTGTGGCGTTAGGAAAACATGTGACTGGAGCAATTGACTGCTCCATGAGAAGTTGCGGTAAAACACGTGAAAAAGAGATAAAAGAGGCCAGAGACGCTATTGAAAGCTGTGAGAATCTAGAGCCTAGAGAGGGGTACTCAGAGGCTCTTAAGGTCCTCAGACGCCGGTTCGGGCAACCTCACTTAATAGGTAGGACTCACGTAGCTAATTTGATTGATGGTCCAGTTTTAGGATCTATTGGGTCCGACAGTCTTGATGAAACTTGCCGGCGATATACGAAACTGTAAGAACAGGTTGCAACAGTTGGATTATGTAGCCGACTTAAATTAATCTAGGACGCTGACCGCCATCATCAGACGACTCCCCCCATAGTTAAAATTAAAATGGTCAGAGCTCGCGTCATCAACTCTGCATTTTGGTAGAGAGCCAACGTTCTCATCCCTTCAATACTGTTATCGCCCTGTACTAAGGGAGATCGCGTCTACACAAGTTAAAAAGTAAGAACTATACCGGCCTTAAGCATCTGGTTAAGTATGGAATCCGAATATTATACAGTAAAAGAGGTGGTCTTCTGCTAAATTTCAAGCAGGGTACCTAATTCTGTGTTCAAACGAAAACAGCGTAGACTTCATTCCAATCGCCCTGGAAGTAAGTGCAAGACTACGTGTATTACTGTGAGTTTTAATTCCTGCGCCTTGCAAATTAAATGGTCATCATTCATTACTTAGTTAGCCCACTCCCTAACTAAGTGGGTACATACACTTAGGTACGGTAGGACACCTGCGAATCTATTATATTAGGAAACCCGGACAGCCAACAACAACAACAAAAGCGGAAATTCTGTCCATTATCCATCCAGTTCGTTTTACCTGGCCACGCACGCACACACACGCACAAAAGTACAGCCAGTAACGCTAGCTTTTGCTGCTCTGCTGCATCCTGCCAGAACCGCGTACGCATCAGTTGACTGACCGGCTGCGACAATGGATTGGGAGAGGAGAGAGAGAGAGAGTAAGGTCGGCAGCTCTTAACGCATACTTCTCACTGTAGACAGTCTGACGCGCTCGAACATATTATATGTTGGAATATTATGCACACCAGAGCTATCTCACGCTACGTTAACACACCTGCGGCCCACAAAAGAGCCCATCTCACGCCACGTTAACACACCTGCGGCCAAATTTGTACATATATATGTTACTCACTGTTTATAGTGACATATTTTATGTTGGATATTTCATGCGTATTGTTTTCAATAGGGTCTTCAAAGGCATTGCCTACTACCCTAAATATACTGAACTATATCACAATGCGATAAAGGCCAGGGCTTGGAAAGCTGCCAACTGACGGGATGGCCCAGTCTCCTTCTTCTCCTCCGGAGAGAGACTAGTTGTCATTAATACTTAATGTGGCCTCTACGGCAAACCGACTCAGTTGGGATCCGAGCAGTCCTGCATTTTGTGTTGTGTGAAGATGGGCTCCATTGTGTCCTGCGTAGTCGGGTTGTTTAGGTCAGTCAGTCACTGGGTCATATCAACCCTCCGGTCTTCTTGGCTCCAGTTTAACACCACGCTAAGTGGGCAAGGGAGGAGGGAGTGCGGTAGATGCCGCGGAAGGCCACCATAACTGAAAATTATTTCCCATGTATGGCCTCGCCCTAAATCCAGCTGCCGTAGGGCACGTAGTGGAACTCATCAGTAACGACGGTGGAAATGCCCCTTTCTCACACTATCACCGCATATTCTGCTATAAACCGTCTTGCTATTGGAAATTGGGGAGGGTGAGAAACAGAGGAAGTGATGTAGTGATGCTATGCGAGTCGGCCTTATACGAAACAAAGTTTAGTGAGAGCCATTACTGCGCTCTAGGGAATAGTGGTGGGTCTGGTCACTTTCGACGGACCAACTCATTAGTAAAACAGAAATCTACCCAGCGACAGAGGCTGTTGATTGGTTAGCAAGCCCGACAGGGAGAAGATCACAAACTGAGATGTGAGGTCGTTCACATAACTTTTGCAGGGTCATCTTGAAAGGTGGCGGTCAGAAGCGCAAAGGCAAGAATACAGAAGTAGTTGCTGAAATGTGTAGTCTTACAAAGAAGGAGCAACATATTATCGCCCTCAGTGTACATGGAATCAATTTCAGGCACTCTTAATGGCTGTTTAATAGATCATGCACGGGAAATGGAACCCGCCCTACTGCAGGGACTTTTTGCTAATTTTCGAGGAGATAAGGTTTAGTGTTAACGATGGCGTAAGGTATAGGTTAACACGCTGAAGATTCACCTCTCCTGGAATTTCGCGCAAGGCAGCTCCTATTCTATGTCTCACTGTTAACAGCATTTCCAGGGAACTTTCCATTCATCTTTTTATAGAGAACAGTACATTTATAAAACGGTACATTTATAAACTTTTTGGGCAAAGGTAGTTTAAGTAGTGCA